GTGCTCTCCCTTTTAATCTGACCTCACATTTTGACTTTTACTGCCACCAAAATGTTCACATTTTTCAAACTCAACTCGTCAAATCTCTAAAGTCAGTTTTATACAAGAATTTAGCGTCTCAAGGCCAAATTTTAAATCAACCTGGTGACACTTCTTTGACGTCATAAGGTTCGGTTTTCAATTTGTGAATGCCCATCAGAGAGCCCGTCAAAAGACATTCTCTCATTAGCCCTAAAGTACTCGTCATGAAGAGCTCCTTTCATTAGATACTACAGATGCGTGTAGTTAATAACGTTACACATTTGATATGGAAATTCCAAATAAATCTCTTTCATTACCATTTCTTATCTCTTTCCTTTTCTAAAGGGAAATGACATTTATGTTATTAGGTCACAGGAAATATTTGAAAACCACAAAGGCAACTACTCTCCAGCTTGTGTGTTGCTTATTGTGCTGTACTCACTGCAAGTCGTTTTAGATTCTCATCTGCTACATGACTACACTGTTCAAGTGTAAGGATATTTCTATGAAGACAACATCAGTTGCAGGAAACCGTCAGTGTGGTGAATACTCAACAGTTAAACTGTGCATGTATGTCCTGGAGCCAGGAACCAGCTCAACCTGCTCAGCTAGTTCCACCATGGCTGCCTGTGTTTTCCCTCCCTGCTTCCTCCTCCTCCTCCTCCTCCTCCTCCTCCTCCTCTATCCACAGCCCTGTTTCTCAATCTGACTGTTGCTTTCCTACCTGCACCTTCCAGCAGGCGCTGAGCCTCCTGTACTCCTTTATTCCCACCTCAACAGCGGCCTAACAGACGCTGGGCTTTTCGCACCTGGCTCAAACAGACCCATCTGTGCTCTGGATGAGGTGATGTCTGGTTGGCTCTGTGTGAAAGCTACTAAAGTAGCTAAATAGTGCTTACCTCTCAGCCGCCGTTGGATCGGGATTCAAACGCGCTCCGAGCCAGATTAAGACAAAGGCGCCTGTGCAAATCTCTGCACGTTCTTAACAAAATAAAAAACCTTAACGTCAAATTAAACCTGACGAGCTGTATTCTGCGCTCAGTATTTTGTCGGCTGGATTATGATTTTAAGAATATACCTCTCTGCTTAACATGAAACTTGAGTTCAGATCAGAATACCCAACACCCCCCTTCTTCTTAGCGGAGGTGCACAACAGGTACAGGTATGAACACCTCCCTGAATCCGTCTCAGAAGAGACTGCATCTACCCTGCTTTTAAACGATACAAGTGCATATTTGTGCATCACTTGCTTTCTGTTTATACAATGAGCATGGAGATAAGTTAAACCTCGTTTTCATGGTGATGGACTTTTTCCACACCGTCAATTTAACATCTGTGTTACAGTACCAAAAGTAGCAAAATTTGATATGCTATTAAAACAATGTGCGCAACAACTTAGCCTGATTAGATAAATAAAAGATAAATAGAACTTTACCAATTGCGGGGGAAAAAAACACTAATGGGCGAACCAAATCGGACCAAAAAGTTCTGGAGGGTTGATATCTGTCAAATGAGTAAAAACATTTCCATCATTACTAATATGGCTTTTCAACAACGACTTCTAACACACCTGCATGCAAATTTGGCTTCTGCACGTCCTCATTTTGTTCATCTGAGTTTTTTTTTTTTTGACCCCTCAGGGAAAATGCACCAACAACCATTACGACGTCTACATTTTGTGTTTAAAGCCCGATCAGACTTCTCGAGTTTCTGTGTGTTACATGATCAGAATGAATGAATGATAGCACCCTGTAAGTGAGTGTTTGCATCAGCTTTTCAGAACATCTGCATACAAACTGTCCGTCTGTTATCTGTCTATAAAAATAAAAAAAGCACACCAACCTGGAGTTTTCAAACTGAAGCAGGGTCAGACGCATCTCAACAAGTCTGAGTTATAGGGGCTCCAAAGGCTTGAGCACAGATAGTTTTTATTTAAAGCTTTTCAGCTTGTAAGTCTTTTGTCTCCTCTGAATTTGAGGGAAGTATGTGGCCAAGCGACCAGTGCAAACTTTGGCATCGAATGCCAACTTTTGATGACTCAGGTAATTCTATACAGGAGGTACTACAGCACAGGAATGATGCTCTGACAATGAACCATGCTGCTACTTCAGAGAACACAAAGTTATATTTAATCCCATAAACATGGTTTACTCTTAACATACATATAAAACTGTTTGTGCCATGCAAGTTTGGTAATTCAACTTCCTGTATTACCAGGTGCCACCAATAGCACTGGTGCATGCATATCTACTCATAACACCTGTTAGATTGAAGTCGGCTGTTTTAAAAGAACACTCTCATCCAGCATGGTCCAATCTGCACAAAAATGTCATGTAGACTTCCCACAGGGGTGCAGAGGGGAAGAAAAGGAAGGAGGAGTAGAAAGTTACTCTAATCTCGACCTTAACAGGATTACAGGCTGGCACAACCAATCACAAAGCACCGATAGGGAATCCCCTACAAGTCTGAGGGAAATAAATAAAAATAGACCTGGCCTGGCCTGCTCGGCCAATGGTGGAGCCCGCAGAGAGATGTATAAATAAATAAGAGAAATAAATAAAAGAGGAGGGAAACACATCCTGAGGGCATCCCCCTACTGGCATAGACAGCGCTACCTCTCATCCCTCCACCTCCCTCTCAGCGTCTCCCACTCCAGCCAATCACTCACACTATTTGAAGTTATTTGCTTGCACTCCCCTTAATCCCCCCCCCCCCCCTTCACCCTCCCCTCGCTGCCGACTTCGCTCTCTCACTTTCATTCTCTCTCATTAATGATCTCATTTCTCACTCTCCTTCCCTGAGGCCCAGAATGAGGTTAGCTCCGCAGTCTGACCTATAAACAGTGCCATGGAAACTGCAACGTGTTACAGAGAGACACCTCTTTAACTGGAAGATGGGGGGGGGTGAGGAGAGGAGAGGTGGTGGTGGTGGTGGGGGGGGGAGGGGGGTTCTCTCACCTTTATCTTAGCCAGAGGGCTACCAGGAGCCCGATTTGCTTCACTTTCAACAATCCTCTTCCTGGCAAGAAATCTGTTTTTTTTCTGCCCTCTCAGGGTTTTTTTTTAAAACACATCTGTAGAAACCTGAACTGCTTGAGCTGACGTGAACTCAGTGTTGGCATCAGCAGTTGTTGTGTACTCTGTGTGTGTTGAAGAGGAAATCAAAAGATGGAAGTCGTAACTCTGATTTTTACTCCAGTTTTGTCTGTTACAATTAAAAGTAGAGCCCGACCAATATATCAGAGTGCTGCATCATCTGTTGATGGGCCTTTCACGGATGCATCATCGGCATATAAACTATCCCATATGTGCCAATATGAAAAGTGTTTTTGGATCATTTCCCCTGGCGAGATGACCCAGAAGCAATAGCATTCAAGGAAGAAACGTGAAGAAAAGGCTTATCAGGTAAGGGTTCACAACAGACATGACAATCTATATTAATGTTGAAAACTCTCACATATTTGTGAGCAGCCTTCAGATTATTTTTGTATCAACATCGGTATTGGCTGAATTATTTTTAGTTTTAAAATCAGACTCTAATTAGAAGACAAGCTCACCCACAAATGTCAATCAATACTGTCATTAATATTCTAATACTTGGTCATACACATTGCTGTTTTTGCAAACTAACTTCAGGCTAGAATAAGATGGGGTTTTTTTTCTGAAAATGCAGACTTGTGTCTCACCTAGCAGTCAGCTTTGTTTACAGCTTTCTGTTGACAAGGCTGTGAAATTACTGACTGAGAATCCACCAGAGTCAGCAGTCCAAAGTACTGAATATTGATCCTACTTTTGAGCATGCAATGCTCACGGTAGCTAAAGCTCAGACAAATATGTCCATCACATTCTGTGAAAGATTCAACTTTTTGGTAGCTAATTATTTGCACAGTTGGTTTAAAAATTCAACATGTATTCTACATTTTTTATGTATTTTTACTCACAGAGTGCTCAAGTCAAACTACAAAAACTTAAAGATCAGTAAGCTAAATATCCTGTTCGGATGCCACATGAACTTTAAATCCAATCTAGAATTTGGAACACGAGTTTCTCAAAGACTTCCGACCCTTTAGTCGTCCTTCATCGTAGTTGAAAATTGACATTAGAGTGTGTTACCAGTGTTGTAGGACTCGAAATCAGTCTTGGTCTCAAGAACAGTCTCCAGTCCACTTTTTTAAGGTCTTGTCTCGGAATCGAAAGCATTTTTACTCGGTCTTGTCTCGGTCTCAGACTGTGTAGATTCTGGATTTTAAACCAGTAAGTCCAAAACTGACAGGCTATGTTTCCATTACTGCCCTGAGAAGGAAAACGGTCCTTTCTAAAATAAGAAAATAACTCAAATTCATTCAAAACTAGATTTTTTCATCCTCTGGTTATGGCCGCAACCTTCCCGGTGTTATGGTCTAAGTAAGTGACACGCTCCCTGAACACAAGATGATGATTTTTTAAATTGATATTTATGGTCTTGGTCTTGACTCGGTCTCGCCCTGCCGTGGTCTTGGTCTTGTCTCGGTCTTAGAGCACTCTGGTCTAGGGGATGTCTTGGTCTTGTTTAGTGTGGTCTTGACTACAACACTACTTACAATTTAAGTTTCTTTCAAACTAAGCCGTTTTAAGTCCAAGCCTGGGAGAGGTTTGCCTTCAATATGTAAGAAATAGTTTGAATGAACAGATTAAGACCAAACATGAAAGAGTACTGCTGGAAAGTATGTTCTAGTCAAATGATCAGCCTCTGCAGACTAAAGGCAAATAGGGTGACTGTAATGACACTTTCAGTTGGACACTCTCTGTTGAAGTGGTTCTTTCACACGCTAGCTGGCTTACATTTGAGAAATTATTGGACCTCCCAAATTCAAATAAATTTAAGTATGCTTTCAATAAAAGAATTACTCGCTGTAGAAGAAATTTCCTGTTGGTAAGTCTACCATAATATATCACAATATGCACAAGTCGGATGTTAAAAGGTAGAGACAGGAGGCTCACCGGCAGACTGGATGGCCGGCCCTGCATGCTGTCTTCCTGACTGCTCTTGTTGGAAGCCATGGGCTGGTTGGAAGGAGGAGCGCTGGACTGGGAGCTGAAGGAATCCTGGGAGAGTTCCTGATTATGAAAACAAGAAGGAGATATTAAAATAGATACCACACATGTAAATAGGTACAACGACACAGATAATACATCATCACTGGACTGGACAAACACAGAACAAAGTGCCATTGGTAATTATGATTTGAATACTGACTGAAGGGCATGTCTGTGAGTGATGGACTGTTAAAAGTGAGCTCTTTGCCTAAGTAGCTCATATTTGGATTTATAATCTTGTTTTCTGCTATTCTTCTGAGGACTCTTCAATTCCCCAATAATCTAACTAATAATGAAGCAACAAGTTAACCCTCAATGCCTTCAAAGTTTATTAAGAACCTCCTTAAGCTGCTTAATAGTTTAAGCAAGAGGAAAATAGAGGCTCAAGGTCATTTCTTTGTGAAGCACCTTCAACGTTTAGTTTTATTTACACTGTAAGGGGGCATGAACTGGAACGGTTATGGATACCTTTGTATTAGCATTGCATCTAAACGCACGTCTACGTCTGTATGAGTGATTTATTTTTAGTAAATAGATAAATATAGAGACATTTTAGTGCTGTCACAACTTGCCTGGGACCCTGTCTGAGGTGATACCTATTAGTACGATCTACAACTTCTACCTATAAACCACAAGAAGAAATGACCCGAGTCGGTTGAGCCATAGTATGCAGTTGAAATGAGGCATATGTGTGCCAAGTGTGTTCTGTGTGGAGACATTACCTGCGGAGGAGGTGGAAACCTCTGATATGGTGACTGTTGCTGCTGTTGTTGTTGCTGTTGTTGTTGTTGCTGCTGCTGTTGTTGTTGTTGTTGTTGTTGCTGTTGTTGCTGTTGTTGCAGGGGGGGTGTCTGGGAATAAGGTGATGGTTGACCCTGCTGGCCATGGCCTGGAGGTTGCTGGGCCTGAGGAGGTGGACCTCCTGGTTGTTGCTGTTGCTGCTGTGGTTGTTGGGGCCCTTGCTGCTGCTGCTGCTGCTGCTGCTGCTGCTGCTGCTGCTGCTGCTGTTGTTGTTGTTGTTGTGGGGTTTGCTGCGGCGGTGGCTGGCCTGGTCCAGAGGGTTGTGGGTAGCCAGGCTGGCCCTGTGGGCCTTGCTGACTTTGAGGACCTGGCCCCTGCTGCTGCTGGGGAGGTTGCTGCTGCTGGGGAGGGACATACGGCGGCTGTCCTGGCTGAGACTGTGGGGGCTGGGTGTAGGGAGGCTGACCTGGAGCGGGGCCGTGGGGACCTTGGGATTGTTGGTATGGAGCTCCTGACTGCCCATGTTGACCCGCAGGTTGTGTAGGGTGGCCCTGCTGGGGGTAAGGAGTTCCGGAGCTGCCCTGGGGTTGGCCAGGGTACGTAGGCTGCTGTTGGCCAGCGTGAGGGGGAGCGCCATGCTGACCATAAAAGCCCTGGCTCTGCTGTCCATAGCTACCCGGTCCCTGTTGCCCATATGCCGGCATCTAGATATGAAGACAGAAAGACTTATTATTCATAAAAGTCTTAATCTACAATAGTTACTCTGTTCAGAGGGGAATCACTTGGCTGGACAGTCAAGCCATTTGCACTATAATGTGATAAAACAAGTTGTTGACATTGATGATAAACTTACTAATTTGTTTGTTGATATGGACAGATTTGAGAGCCTATCACACAGCAGAAATAAACGGGACATCACTTATCCTGCATTTTTTTGTCAGCTGGACATTAAACCGTATTGCTTTCACTTTTTATATCTTCTGTTCCCATCAGCTGTATGTTATAACCCTTTGCATTTTTTCATTAGACGTCCGGAAGTCAAAGAGATCAACAAACTGAATTAAAGTAAGCAGCAGCTCAGCTAGTAGCTTGTGAAGAGCCGCAAGAGGGGTTGGTCTATGGGTTGGTTTGTTTTGGAGAGGACGGTAACGCCGAAAATAATCTTAACCTAAAAAACTTAAGACTGTTATCAGACTATAAATGGCAGCTTGGCTCACAGCCCCTCCTGATGTCCCATATGCAGAAGAGCATAGGAGAAACACTGTTTATTTAATCTGAAGCTGTCTTAACAGGTTTTAATTATTATTTACTTACTAAAAATATCACAGCCTCAAAACAATGTGTGGGAGCCAATACATTAACACTATTCTTAAGTTTGAAAAATAACCCACTGGTTTCTTCAGGCTTCCTTCGTTACTGGGATTCTCCTGAAACAGGCAACATAACCCAAAGCAGATATCCTTATAGATATCTATAATGATCTATTTAGAAAATAGGGATCATGATTATGTTTTCTACCATATTGTCCAGTCTTAGGAAGACCAGCAAGATAAGAGAATAAATAACACAGTTCAACTGAATTACACATGAACACTTGTGGCTTTTTCCAATTCAAACTCAGATTTTACTACAGGTTTACTATCCCGACAGTCTGCGCTGACAGGATCCCTTCTGAAAAGTGTAAAAGTATACAGAAAAATAACCAAATAAGTCACCTCTTTGATTTAGTTTCCGTTCACTCTCAGCGGTGTGATCAGAGACTCTCGTCTTCTTACTCAGAGATTAAAAAGGGAAAGACAACTGTTCCGTGTGTGTGCGTGCATGTGTGTGCGTGCGTGCGTGTGTGCAAGAGAGAGGAGTGTGTTTCTTTCTATAAACTGATCAGTCAAAGCACAAGAGAAAAGCATCTAAGTGCAGGTATTCAGCGGCGCATCGCTTTAAATTACAGCCGTGCAAAATAAAAATTGAGTTTTGACTTCGTCTCCTTGAACTTCAGTATGAATCTATTCATATTCCAAACCGATCCTACGCGCAGAAAGCCTTTCAATACAGCGTTTGCGTTTCATTACCCTCAAGGAGCATAGAAGGAGAAAACCCTGACCTTGTGAGGGAACACAGTAATCAAAAGAGAAGAGGTAAGGGAAAAAAAAAAGCCACGTGTTGTTCTGGGAGGTTCTCAGCTACTCCAGAATTCAAAGAACATAAGAGATAGTAAAGACATTTAAAACAATGTGAAGTGGCTGTATTGTGGTGTGTTTTTCTGACAAAGGGAGGGAAGCTGTTTTCTCTCTGCAGGGCACTTATCGAGTCCACGGTCAAACACCATGCAGGCTGGTATGAGATAATCACACCACACAATGAGCACGAGACCACTGACGGCGGACGTGGAAGAAAAGACCTGGCCTCTGAGGGATTCCCTGCATGCATTTCTCTGTAAGAACAAGCCGCCTGGCTGAGCAGGGTCAACGAGGGCCTTCTTAATACTTACTAGAAAGTTGTTACAGGAACCTGCTTTGTTTGCTTTTTCAATTTGACTGACATATAGAGACACACAACCAGCCACTCTCACACTCACAACTATATGCAATTTAGAGTCACCAAATAACCTAACCAGCATGTCTTTGGACTGTAGGAGGAAACCTGAGTACCCGGAGAGAACCCACCCATGCACCGAGAGAGGCTTCTGTCCAACAGAGGTTCGAACCAGGAACCTCCTCGCTGTGAAGCAATAGCGCTAACCACTGCACCGCCGTGCAGCCCTTTGGGCGATAATTGTTTTATTGAAAAACACATCACAAAACACATGATGTCACATCAAGATTTCTGATTAAATGAAGAATGTACAATGCGCCTATAAAGGTAAAGAGCAGGGTTAATGTATCTAGCATCTTCAATCTGGTATCAATTCTACTTCTCATCATGGTTTATCTCTTTTTCCTTTTTTTCAACAATGCACATTAATATTTTGCTGTCCTCTTTCTCCTAGGCCAACTAACTTCAGTTCATGTTAGCCGCATTCATGTCATAAATGCAGCTAAAGGAGTCAGGAAGTGGTGACGCTGTGAGTCAAATTGCCAGGGAAATCTGTTTAGAGCACTATTTTAAATCACAATACCAATATTCAGCACAAGAAATGCAAACATTCTTTCACACAAGTAAGGAAGATGATACGTTGCCTCATTGATCATTTGCCCCATCAGGGTGTACCCCACCTCTCGCCCGATGACAGCTGGAATCGGCTCCAGCCCCCCGCGAATGGGAAAAGCGGTATAGATAACGGATGGATGGTATTATCGTCCGATGGCTGTATTGGGATAGTATCGTCATCTCATATCATAGTTTGATTTATCCTGTGCTTCCCACCCCTAGTCTGTAATTTGTCAGGTAAAAACTATTTTGTGTCAAAATCTAACCATAACTTTCTTCTAGCTTTTGCGAACGTCTAAGCATTTAATGAGTCCACTATAGACAGTCAGTTTATCTCCTGTATGCTTGCACTTCCACCATTACAGCAAAATTAAGTCACAGCTTGAATAAACGCTCGACTGCCTCGACTAACAGGAATGTAAAAAAAACGTATTAACTTGTGGTCAGACTTCAAACTATGCCCTGCACAGTGACCAAGTAACAGAGGCACTTAAAATAGCCTGGTTAAATATCCTCAACAAAAGAAGGAGTCTAACTTTTTGGAGAGACAAATCCGTCATCTCTTCTTTTTATATGCCGCCTTCCCAAAGCACAACAGTCGTTTGTTATCTAGAGTTCACATCTAGCAGACAGTTACTTAATATCTGGTCATTTCAAAGGTCATGTTGATGATTGTTCAGATAAGTTTGACGTTAATGACACAATCTTTGGAAACTCTGCCAACTTCTCTGTGGACCCAAACATAACCCCGGTCACATGCTGCACTTTGAACTTGCTCCATTTGTGACGAGACTGTTACAAATGAACTGCATTAAATAATCATTTTATTTAAAAATAAGGGCCGAAAAACAAACATGCATAATCCTATTTTAGTCTCTGAATAAAATAAAAACATTGCTAGCTAGAGAACTCATTTCTTATTGAAAGCTAAGCGTTTTGTTTTTCGAGCCATCATGTTGAACCTTTGTGATGACATCATTGTGTTTTTATTTGGGTTAAAGATAACAACAAGAGGAAAGGCGGCCGCTATCTTCCAGCAGGTGATTCTATTTTGCATAATCCTTCTAAATAAATCTGAAATTAAAAACGTATTAGCTGGAGCATAATTCACAAAACTGACATAATCTGTAGGTTGTACAGGATCCATAAATATTGAACATTTTAAGATAGTCCAAAAAATTATATCACAGGTGGCTGTGGCTCAGTTTGTGAGTGGGTCGTCTCTCAACCGGAAGGTTGGGAGTTCGATCCCCAGCTCCTGAAATATATCTGATGCGTCATTGGGCAAGACACTTAGCCCAGAATTCTCACGTTCTAGAATATGAAGAAACTGAACAAAGCTCTGAAGGTAGAACAGCACAGTTCTGAGAGTTCAGTCAAACACAAACTTCCAAAAAAATTTGGCACAGAACTTCTCAACAAAACTCAACAATTACTGACCTGCTGTCCGTACTGCATGGCGCCCATAGCGCCAGGTGTTCGGCCCTGCATCCCCATAGGATACCTCTGAGGCGTTGGAGGTCCGTAGGCCTGCCCTGGGTAAGAGCCTCCCTGTTGGGGTCCGGGCCCTGCAGGAGGCCCTTGCTGCTGCTGGGAGTACGGGTTGGGTCCTCCGTATGGCTGGCCACGCATTTTCCCCACCTGGTCCATCGGACTTGGAGGCTGAGGGACACACAGAGGGAATTTGTAATGTTTTAATGAGGTGAAACAGTGAATAGATATACTGGCACAAGTTTGACTTTAGAGAAAATTGTCTGTCATTCACTCTTGGTTTAAGACTCGATGGTTAAGGTTTGCGTTCATTAAACTTTGCAGTCACACACCCAAACACACTATAACAAGCCCTATAATGATGCAACTGATGGAACATTGTTCAGACTCCAGTGATGTGACAGGAAAAGATCCTGGTTCAAATATAGCCGGAGTTATTTTGGAAGCTTTCTAGTGGCTTTCTTGAAAAAGCATTACTCAGCAATGAACACAAATAATGGGTCCACTGTTCCACTGAGTCGTGCAAGCATCATCTCATAAACCAGTCACAGTATAATCAAGTAAATATAGAACAAAAAGCAGAAGGGGGAGGGAAAAAAAAAGCAGTAGTGGATTTACTTTCCTACTAGAAAAGGAAAAAATTGGCCATGAATGAATGAATGAGCCCACTACATCCGCCAGGAGCGTTTCCCTGCCCAGGAGATCATTGTGCCAGTGGGTGGATACTGTTACGGCGGAGACGTTGGGGAGGGTTTCTATGAAAATAAGCTTAAGGAAGTGGAAGTGTCTGCGGGGGCTGGATCCGGGCCCACCCCTCAGCTGGAGCCACGTCAGGACGGAGGCTGGGTTGGTGGTGTTGGAGGGGTCTGACCTTGGCTTGGCCTGGACTCTGGGAGATCCACATGGCCCGGGCAAGCAGTGTTGCTTTGCCAGACGGCCGTTCTGGACAGAGAGCCAGACAGCGAACAGAGGAAGAGGAGAAGGGGGGCTTGAAATGAGGTAACCCTGCCTGTCAACAGCTGGAGCCAAGGTCATAAAGTGTCTGATGCTGTGAACATAAAGAGTTTCCTGGAATCCCCTACATAACATACGCCAATGTGACAAAACGCACAGTTAAAGCAAGGATAGCCATTTTCTGTTATATTAGTCATTGTCAATATGATTGGAAGTTCTCTTCACATCCTGACAGCAATCGTTAAATTAATGTTCTCACATAAAAAAAAACTGCTGTCTGTAGTAGGGTTGTCATCATACCAGGATTTTAAACTCTGATACGATACTAGTAAAATCAAACAATATTCAGGCCTGTTTCATACCACAAAAACGATTTAAAAAAGCATAAGCACCCAAGACTTGATCATTTCTTGTCTTTGACTTACAAAAATTGCAAGCAACTCCTTCACACTGTCAAATTTGCACAAATACATTGATACATTTTGGTACCAAAATTATTTGTGCCATCTCTGATCTCAACACCTTTGGGTTGAAAATATGGCTGAAGATCTGAAGTGTTGTTTTAAAGCTTAGGTACTTCTGATACCATCAATCATTAAAATAACAGAATGTATCGTTTTCTACCAACGTTAGCCTGTAGTTGTCCCAGGCCTCTAAAAATCACGCCCAATCCTTTAATCCAACCTCACTTGCTTGTCTACTTACTTACCTGCATGCTCAATTCTTTCACAAGCTAAGGCTAGAGAGCACAAGAACTATCTATGTCAAACTTAAGATAGAGAATATTGGGTGCCTAGAACTAGGCCCAAACAGGTATCCATATGGTAAACCATTCTTGTCAATCATATCAAAGTTTAGAAATCTGGTATCTGTGACAGCCATAATAATATCTATTTTTGGTAACTTTTGAGGTGTTCAAGATTATCCAAAGTTATCTACACAAACTAAAAACAGGCGAGCCATTGAACTGATACAAACTGGTCATCACTTACAAATGTAAAAAGAAAAAGAAAAAAATTGAACCAGTGCTGTGTGGGTATCTGGCTGGTTGGCACAATCCGATGCCATCCACTCATCACACCACTGGCAGCCTCTTTGTGTTCCCATCAAACCCACCACAGCGGCGTCTGAAAGTACAAGCCACAATGGGGGCTTTGAAGTTGCAACACCTCCTGGCCTGCTGACCTCGGGCAGCAGACACAAAGCTTTCATTGCTTCCCACGGTTATTAATCTGTGTGTGTGTTTTTCCTCCCCCACTCAAAAAAAAACCTCTTTTCCTTGGTTAAAGGAGACAACCACCGGGGCTATTTATAGCAAGTGAGACGGAGAGGGCAGTCTGCCGAAAATGTAACAGGTCCCAGCTGCACTGCTGTTTGAACCTGGGCCAGGCCTTGCTCTTCCTGGGCTTTAATAAAGCAGCAGGCTTTGGCACTCTATGAATGACAGTGCTGCAATGAGAAAGAGGAGGTCGGGTGGGTGAGTGGAGGGGGGGGCTCAGCAGGAGCCTGGTGTGTGTAAATATATGTGTGTGCTGGGGATCCTGTAGGTGTTGGAGGCGGTGGTGGTGGTGGTGGGGGGGATCAACAGGCTGTTGAGGCGGTCAACCAACATTATGCAAGATAACATATTCCACTCCTGGTTTTCCCTCCAGCCTCCCCCAGGCCACACTCTCCTGTGCTCCTCCAGGTTCAGGAGTGTGTGTTATGTTGTATATATGTGTGTGGAGGAAAGGAGAAGGGTGGGGGGGGTGGTGGTGTTACTATGCTCCCCAGGGTCATTACCGACCACACCATGGGGGGAAAGAGGTAACAGGCCCCGGTAGGCCATCTACTGTGACCTCTAATGCACTTTTAACCTCATTCTGGAAGGAAGGACACCGTGTGACGCTCCCATAATGCATCCTTTCACAACAAACACACACACACCTGACACCATGCTACGATGGGAGTCCCCCTGCAATACTGTTAGCCTAAAGATGACTGGTTGAAAATGGACTAATTTCAGGCAGGTGCACTCCTCCAACCACAACAGAATATTTCTTCACATTCTGCAAAACGAAAACGCAGCAGCTTCCCCTCACTGGATGGAAATATGCTATACGTCTTTTCTAATGAGCCGCTTAAGTAGTTAGACGGAGCCTCCTGTGTCATCGGTAAAGCATGCCACCGAGGCCTGAATCACCCGCTAACGTCCTCCTATCCACATGAAAAATGACTAGCATGCTAACAGACTACAGAGCAGCAACACTAAAGTTAAAATCTATTTCTCATTTAGACAAAATCTCCCAGCGATGACCGGGGCCATAAAACAATCACCCTTTTTTTTTTTCCCCCACCATTTTTGGTCGATATATCGCTGGCGGTGAGAATATTTCTACACCCGCTTTTCCATTAAAGAAGTCTGACAGCTCGGGGCCCGGCTCAGCAGGGACAGAAGTACAGCTCCAATACACTCAGGGTTTTTTTTTTTCAGCTCCCTAAACCACGTGGAGAGTCAGTGCTCATGTTTCCAAAAACAAAACACAGATCATTCTTTCTCTACCGTGTCTCAGTTTACAGTCACTGTGAATATGTTGAAGGAGTTACTGGTGGTTGTGGGATTCTGCTGTTCAATAAAAAAGCTTGAACTACCTTTTTTTATTTTTAGTTAAGCTCCACACCAGAAACATATCATGAGTCACACATTTTACCTGCAAGATACTCAGAGTTCCCATTAAGTAACAGCTGACTGCAACAACTTTCTCATGACTTCAAGTCAAGGCCTTTTTGTTTTCAGCTATTTCATTTTACTGGATGAAGGATTTGAATCGACTTCTGACTGGAGATACTGTATATTCTCGCCATTTAACATTTGGTTAGCGTACACATCCAGCTGCATCATGAATGTAATCTTTCATACACTCCGCTATGCATTACCCGTGTTACCGGAAGATTCCTCTTAAGCTCAGGAAGTATGCAACTAGCTGATGTAAACTACTGTACAGACATGGCGCCACTCAAGAGGTTGCTTTTATATTAACTCTGAGATTAGAACTTACATTATAGTTATATCAATAATCAACAGGAACATCTGACCAGCTAAGGTGACGGCATCATCCTCAAGTCCTATATCTCCAATATTTTTCCTCTGTGCTCGGACGTCACAGTCATTTCGTTTTTTTTCATTTAGTGTTGCTGGTTTCCACGACAACTTTCAAAAGGGAACTTATTTGTCGTTTGTTGCCAATACTCACAGTTGTGGATTTAGTGTGTATCAGCTTATCCTGAAAACATTCTGCCATTGTTGTCCATGTTGCTGTGTTGACCCTGCCCGGTCACATCACCTCTGCCTCTACACTGCCCCTACTTTTCATCTGCATACTGGATCATGCAAACACATTAAATGACAAAGAGTAAGGTTGTTACCTGCTTTTTGTAAAGTGTCTTGAGTTAACACTATACAAATAAAGATTGATTGAGTGACATCACGTCATTTCTTGACGACATGCTCAGCAGACAGCCATAGTTCCCTTACGCTTGGTTAAAAGCGTCACAAATGTTCAACCAATATGTACCTGACTGAAAAAATAACAATCTCTTTCTTTAAAACAGCTTAATAATCGATTTATTTTAAGAATTCAGAGATAAATCCTATTTTTGCACCAATATTCAAAGTATTTTCAAAATGTTCAAGTCAACACATTTCAAGCGATTTATTATCATTCAAATTTTCAAAAAGCCAAGGGCAAAAAAAAAGCCTCAGAAACTACTTTCCAAAAAAAATACAACCTACATAACATTTCGCAGGTTGTTCATAGATTTTCCTATTTTGAGGATTTGACACTTGTCTTTGTTGTTCTTTTTAACCATCAGTAATTGAATATGCTGGGATGAATATTGAAATTTAAAGGCATCACTGTGTGTTTAGGAAAAATAAAGCCAAAAAAATACATTTTAAAGAAATCAGCAAAGAAATCAAAAATCACAATAACAGTCAGCTGCAGCCTTGTCTTCATCGCTTTGGCCATCGCAACATCCTATTGGTATCAAAAAAAAATGTCCCACAGCAGTCACTGGTAATTACTCCTTATAAAAAACGAGTTATCCATTCAGGTGTGTACTCTGCTTATCCTCTTTGTTTATGCTTCATCACTCAATTGACTGAAATCCTTACTAAATCACCGCGGAATAAATCCAGTATTCAATAAAATGCCAATATGTGCATAATGCACTAGTGC